CCCCAAAACCCCAAAACCCCAAAACCCCATGAGAAAGAATTTTTAGTAGTGTTGTAATTATGAAATAAAGATTAACTTAATAATCATAGTTTTTAAATCATTAGCTGCAAGAATAATTATCTTATTCCTATTCATTCTTTTTTCAAGAGATATCAACAGAAGCGAAAGAAGTATATGATCCACAGGATACAAAGTTCACTCTGCCATTTATTTGTTCAATAGGTGTTGGTACTCCTACGTATTCTTATTTATTCTATGTTAGCTTAGTGTCAATATTTTCTGCTTCATTCTCAGCATCTTACTCCTCCATTTCTTAGATAGTTTTAATGTCTATTCCTAATTAATTCTTTCTATTATCACCCCAAGCATATACAGTGCCATCTGATGAAAGAGCTAGACAATGATCCATCCCAAGTGCAACATCTTATATCTATACTCCAAGCAAGGCAACAATAGGTTAAGGTGAAGACGTGTATATTCCCAATAAATTTTTTCCTCCACTCAATTAATCCATACTATCAGAATGTTTGTCTTTTTATGCCCAAATATATCTTGTCTCTTATTGAAACTTTCTATTTGCTAACAGATCTTTAAGCTTGTTAGTGACACCAAGTTTCCCGTAATCAGCACATCCCCAAGCATATAACTAAGTTTTTTAACTGTACTAAAGTCTAATTTTAACATCAGACTGCTAAGTGAACTTTTTAGGCTCTCTTTTAAATACCTTATTTATCAACTCAGTCTTATCGTCATATTTTATGAAGAATATTTGTAACTCACCACCTTTAAAATAGCAGAGTTTACAAAGCAGTTAAGCATAATATGTATCAATGCAAGTGGCATTCTAAGGCAGACTGATGATTAATATATTCAGTTGAGTACAGTAAAGTTCTATTAGTGATACCATTTTCTTCAGGAATTAATAGCAGTCATCTGCTAAGAAGTTCACAAATAATACCTTGTTTTCGAAGATTGTTTTGCAATCAAGTTTATTGAAATGTTTTTTCATTTCAGGTTCTGATGGATTGTTATAGCTCTTCTCTTTTTAAATGTATTCATCCTCTTCCTCAGATTCTTCTTCTTGTGATTCACTTTCATCCTCATCTGATTCATCTTCATCACTACCATCTGATTAATCTTCACTATCGTCATCACTCTAGTCAGAGCCATCTTTACTTGATTTATCTAAACTGTTGGCATCTGAACCATCTGAATCATCATCTCCCTTCTTCTTTTTCTTTGATTTTTTCTTGTCTTTTTTACTAGTTTTAGAGCTTTCATCTTTCTCCTCCTCCTCGCTTTCTGATTCACTATCTTTATCTTTAATAGACTTTTTAGCGACCTTTTTAGGTGGCTGATCTTCTTCATCTGAAGTTTCTGTTTCTTTTTTTTTTGGTTTTGCAAAGCTTGATCTCCTTTGTTCCTATTTAGGATTGACTTGAAGAGCATGGCTTGAACCCTAATTTTCACTTGGTCTTCTAGACACTTAATCTTCTAATGTAATTTCATATTCCTCATCTAATTCACATACAACAGGCATTTCTTTAAATTTTTGTTCAATTTCTTTGAAATGAGCTTTCTTCACATTTAGTGTTTGTACAAATACCTGCACCTCCTTTTCTCTAACTTATTTGGGAGAGAGTTCTTTTGGTTTCTCCACATCTGACTCATTACCTTCATCATCAGAACCTCTCTTCTTTCTACTCTTTCTCTTATTATGTTTGCTTTTCCTCTTTTTCTTTTTGGGTTTTTTCTTTCCATCACCCTCATCATCTTCATCATCATCATCGTCGCTTCCATCACCTCTCCTTTGATTACCATCCTAAGCATCATCCTCATTCTCGTCTCCAGATCTTTAGGAACCTTCCTCATCTTCTTCATCTTCTTCCTCTTCATCATCTTTTCCATCTTCTTCTTCTCCTTCACCATCTTCGTCTGAGTCATCATCTCCATCAACATTCTTCTTACCTTTCTTTTTCTTTTTGAGTTTGGGGAATTTTGTCTTTGTGTAGCAGTAAGGCAAATCAAAGTCATTAATAAATCCTACTTTCTCATTTTAACTTAAATCTAGCACATCTTTTATATCCTTTACGCTCTTAAAATTACTTTCCTCATATACATGAATTGCATGCATTTAGACAACTGCCATAGATACTATTAAAAATTTCAAATTTTACCTGCAGATGGATTTTCTAGTATAAATTCCAATATAATTGAATTTCCTATGGCTATCGTGTGATTATGACTTGTGTATATATCTGAAAAGTTGTAATTCTGCATTCCTTATATTTTCTTAGGAGTCTCTTAAATCCTAAATACTATTAAACAATTGGTAATTTTACTCTGAGTTATTTTCACAGTTCAAGCCTTTTTAATTAAAACCCCAAAAGTATAGATTCTTATTTCTAGTTAAAGCATAAACATGCTAGCCACCAACTTTAACAAGGTCTACTTAATCATTTTTGTCTAGAGTTTCTAGTTTCTGAATAGCTCTAGAATATAATGCATTATCATCTTTAAGAACATTCTTTATAGTGCCTTTTTGAAGGATTATACCTAGTTAACCATTAGAGGCCTTTCCAAAACTATAAATATTCCCCAACTAATCAATAATTATAGAAAACTATTCTCCACACTCCACTTGCTTTATATGGATATCATTAAGAGCTTCATTGAAAAATTTGACGGGCAAAGGTTAGTCTGTATAAAATAATTTCTTTCTTGTTAAAGGATGATATTAGTACTCCAAAATTGCTTTATCATGAATTCCTAATTATCCATACATATTAGATCCAAAACTGTATAGGTTTGAATTTTCATCCAAAAGTAGAGCATGATCATGGCCTAATTTTACAGATACGATTTGTTGCTTGATCTATAATAATCTAGGAATACCAAATTCATGATCCTATTTTACCAATCTCATATCATGTCCTAGTGAGTAAACTTTACCAGATTAACTTAAGATCAATGTAAATCTTTCATTTGCTTGTATTTAGATAATTCTGGTATTCAAAAAAGACATTAAAAGCTAAGGTTTTTCAAAGAAGATTTTTCTCTCATAATTCTAGTGAGATATTTTGAGAGTAAAATTTTCATTGTTTGTCTGTTAATTCATTAAAGTATCCTACCACTGTTAAAGTAAGACTTGAATCTCTATCATGCTTTCCTTTGAGTCAGGTAAATTTGTATGATTTTACAATTCTGAACTCTGAGATTGTTACTGATTACGAGCTTTTATATCTAAAATCTACTGTAAAATAAGATCCTATTTCTTTTTAAGACTCTCTTAGGTGTCTTAATCTTTTGAGTAAAACTTAGCGAAATCCTTCTTAATAAGTAAGCCAAGCTAATAAGACTCATTAGACCCCCAAATCATTATAGTTTGATTGAATGTCTCAAATAAGTTGACAAACCTCAAAATATTCAAATTCTCAACAAGTTGCTCTTTGATAAATTCTTGTGTCAGTTTCACATTCTAGTATTAGTTCCATTTAAATAGGCGGTCTTTTTTTTCTTCAAGCGTCTCATGCTGATGTTCTGGGTCATATCCTCTTTTCTTTTGTTACTGTTATTGGCCAAATGGCGATCCAAATCCAGATGATGGAACCATTTCTGAAACTGGTGAATACTTTTTCATAAGTCCAACATTGGCTGCTCTTTCAACCATTGGCTCTACTTTCTGACTTTACTTTTATCTTTCATTTGCATTTTGTCTTGACTAAGTCTTTTCAGCTCTAATTGTATCCTCTATTCTTTGAAGGAAAAGATCAATCATTAGATTTTTAATCTCTTCTTGAACTTATTTATTCTTAAATACTTCTGCTTCTGGATACATTTTATTCATACAACTCAAGCAAGTCTTAGCCATAATAATTACCTCAGAGATATTAAGACTTTACTGTTCTCTAAATGTAAAAAGCAGTATCAGCAAATTGATTTTATGCTCAATCTAATCACTATTAGATGCTATATTTTCCAATCCATTACATCCAAAGTCTGCTAATATTGTTAAAGCAGTAAAAACTTCGAGCATGTTAATAACATTGATGTTATGAGCTTCATTTTTTACTTTAAATATGCTGAATATTTCTTTGATTAGATACTCTTCAGTTAAAGTGTAATGTTTAGCAGCAAACTTCAAGTACTGTTTTTTATTTAGTAGAAAAGAAAAAAGTAAATCTTCATCCAAAGCCTTTTTGTATGAGAGATACAATTTCTGGGGACTAGGATAATCATGCTTGAGAATGTATTAAAAACTCTCAGGTATAACCATGTTTTATTTATCAATAAGATTGTAAGTGGTGCAAAGCAATTCAAATTTATTGCCCATTTTAAATTTATATTATTAGATTAACAAATCAAAGTTGAACAGAAATTATCATTTCATCTTTTGGGGTTTTGGGGTTTTGGGGTTTTGGGG